AACCTGATCTAGTGGGAGCTGTCCCTGCCCAGGGCAGGGGGTTGGGACTGGATAATCTGTAAGGTCCATTCCAACCCTTAAAATTCTATGATTCTGTGATAATTCTATGATTGCATTATCCAGGGGGTGAGGAGTGAGTAGGAGCTCTCATGTGCAGGTTCACTTAAGTGAGTGACACTAGTGTGGCACAAGTCCCAAAGAAACATTCGGTCAGCACTTGAGTTGCCACTCCTTTCTCTGAAAAATTTCTGTCAGGAGGTGCTGTTAGCTGTTGTCAGTGTGAAATCCCTGATGCTTTCATTGCACTGCCTCTTCAGCTGCCTAGGAAAAGGCCATTCTGCTAGCATCATCCCACTGTATTTTTTTAAATCATGCAAGAAAAAGAATATTTCATCTACTTTACAACATCTGGTTTAGGGACTAGAGAGGGAAAACACCTAACAGTGCACAGGAACAGTCCACAACAGCCTGGGGGAAAGATGCCCAAGGGAAAGGCAGTACCTGTGGAGCAGAGATGGAGGCAGTGACACAGAATTGATGGGTGTGGGGTGTATGATCTGCTCAGCAAAAACATTAAGGGGGAAAAATGCCTGGTTTAAAACTCAGACCCAAGGCATAGTCCCCTGCCCTGTATTATGAAGCACCATTTCAATTCTGACACTGAAAGCTTCAAGACAGGCAGCGGGTCAGAGTCTGTGCCTTGGCTTACCCCCCATAGCAGGCTGAATCAGACAGTATTACTGTTCACCCATTAGATTCCACTGCCATGCAGCATTGCCATGTGATGTCAAACGTGTGATGCTCCTGTGGTCTATCCATGCAGCAGCTGATCAAACTGTTCCCTACCTGTCTCTTTGTTGTTTCTCACTAACCTCATTGAAGTGCAGGGTCTCATTTCAGAAAGTCAGATGCCATTAAACCATATATAAGGCTTCCCCCAAGACTGCAGAGCATAAGAAAAAGAGTAACAAAACGCAGAGCAAAGCACTCATCACTGAAAAGAGTTTTAGAAGCTTGCATCAGGAAGAAAAGCAGAAAACAAACTCTGTATTGTTGCAGGGAGAAATGGGTAAGCAGCCAAAACTCCACCACTGGCAGCAGCCAAGCTATGACAACACTTCACCCTGCTACTGCCAGTAATGCATTCATTCAAAATGGTTTATTTTGTGCTTAAGAGTATGTGCAAATAATTTTTGAGGCTGGTTACAGTGAATATACTCTTAAGGTTTCATCTGCAGCTCAAGCCACAGCAAGCTGTAGTGTTGAAGGGCATTCAGACCTGACTCTTTTGAGGAAAAATTATCCACAGATGATACTTGTGCAACAGAATTAAAATCCTTTATGATGAGAATCAGGTAAAATTCAGCTAAACTCCTAACACTCTTTATTTTTCCCCCCTTTATATTCTTGGCCACAAAAGACACTCTCCTAAGGGAGTTGTCATGTATAGTTTAACGAGAAATTTTATTTCTTTTTTGGTGCCTTATGACCAGGAAGATAAACTGCAAGGAGTTTTTATGGGATTTTTTTTGCAAGCAAACTCAGATCAGCAGTGATGTTAGGTTTAATACATGGGGGAATAGGGTGGGTGTTTTATCTTCTCTCCTATCCCTGATGTAAACATTGTTTCTTAAACAATTGGATCCTTTCTGCATACTCCATCCTTACCATGCAGGTTATGGCTAATTTACACAGGAAAAGCAAAAAGGGTGGTAACAGAAGAGCAGGTGGGAATGCTGCCCTCTGCAATTCCCCTCTGTGAGCAATCCTGTCCTCTTCCACAGCTAGCCCTGCTGCATTCCTCTCTCACTTTAAATCAAGTTTAAGATCCAACAGCCTTGAAGGCTGAAGTCTTATGTGCACTCACAGTGGGGATCAGCCACCTTTAGTCACATTTCTCAACACTCATTCATCTTGAAGGCTCCAGTCCAGAGGGCAGTTTGGCCTCCACAGCAGCCAGAATGGAGAATGCAAGGATACCCAACAGAGCCCACACACAGCCCAATGGTGCATTCCCCAAAAGCTACTACAGGGAACCTACTAGGTTTCATCAGCATTATGGGCTTCCCAGTGAGAGAAGAAAGAAACTGGTTCTGAGAAAGCAAAAAGGTGACTAAAAGAATGAGAGAGGAAGAGGAAGAAATTACAAATGACAGTTAAGGAAAAGAAACCACCACCACAGCAGCACTTTGAAAATGCAAGGATTATGTGCAGAAAAGTGCTGTTTTGCTCTCAATATCTTGTAATGCAAACACAAGTTCATTCTTTCCTCGTGCTCAGCACAGGGTGGAGCAGGGGCAAAAGGCTGCCTTGGAAACACACACAAATAAATGACAGCTGAAATCAAAGTCAGTACAATGATTTTAAGGAGTATAAACTTTACCAGGCCAATTTGTGTGAATCTGTTTTTTAATGACAAATACCTTGTTCTGCCTTGGCAGAAATCCAGGATGGCTAGAACCTTCTGTACAGGTCAAGCAGCTACCTTTCAAACTATCCCAGCAACATGCAGATGTCCATAAACAGCAAAGCAATTAAATTTGTCAAAGTCCAACTTTTACAAGGGATCTTGGCCTAGATTTAGCTTCAGGATCAGGTCTGCAAATCAATGCTGAACTGTATAACCATGTTCACTTGTATAACAGATACTTGATTGCCCAACAACCACAAGAACAAAACCTCTGAGCCATAGTTTGCCTAAAGCAATGCCATGACTTTGTTACAGGTGGACTGAGTTCTGGTAAGTCCTTCTACCACAAGACCATCTTTTTCCCTGCACTGCTAAGGTATACTACAAGGAAGGTTTTGTGTCTCCAGCTTGATACAATTTGCATTGAAACAAAGGCTAAAGATTATAAAAACAAAGGGAGACTGAAGCTTTCTTCACTTGTTCTAATTAAAACTTTTTGACTATCAAATCAGTATCACTAGGCCAATCTCTTCTGGCTGGCCACATGTGTAAACAGAGCTCCTGGATCATGTGTAAAGAAATTTCCCACTATTAGCATCCTTTTCCTGAAGTGAAGTGCCCATTCTCTCACCCAGACCCACTTATCCATAGTTTAAATACAGATTTTTAATTTTTTTTTTAACAGAATCCTCAGATGGAAGGAAGACTCCACACAAAAAAAACTATAATCCCTCACAATTAACATGCAATAGTTCATCTGTTTGTGAAGGCTGGTTGGTGCAGCAGTGAGATGGCAATCCAGGCAGCCAAAGCAGGCTAGCAAGTGGGGACAGACAGCCTGCAGCAAAAGACTGCATGCAGTCTGAGGCCTTGTGCAACCTGATCTAGTGAGGAGGTGTCCCTGCCCATGGTTGGGACTGGATGATCTGTAAGGTCCACTCCAACCCCTAAAATTCTATGATTCTGTGATTCTCACTGGGGTGAAAGCAGTACATAAGGAATGGACCAAGGAGTTTTAAAATCCAGTCCATCTCCAGAGAAAGGGGAGACTTCACAGGCTCCTCAGGGGTCAGTGTGTGTGTGCAGTGCCAGGACAGTAAAAGTTCACTTGGTCATAGAAAATAAAAAGCCCATCAAAAAAAATCTATATTCAGAAACATTAATCAGGATCTTCTCCAGGGTGTTCTAACCTCTGCTTTTTGTCTCTCATGGAGTCATGCGCTGTCTCCTTTTCCAGCACAAATGTGCACTGCCTCACATTTAACCAACCTGTGCACCCCAACAACAGCTTCTGTACAATGTGCATGTCTTACCGAGCAAGCAGGTGCTACCAGAGCTGCTGCGATCCTCACACAGACCTAAGTACGGTGATACCACCTGCTTGACCAGTTCCTCCAGCTGTAGATAGCCCTCACTGGGGCCAGTAGGCTCATGGACACTCTGAAATTCAAACACAAAAAGTCAACATTACCCTTAAATCATAGAATCAACCGGGTTGGAAGAGGGCTCAAGATCATCCACTGCCACATCCAGTCTCAGCTTGAAAACCTCCAGGGATGGTGAATCCACCACCTCCCTGGGCAGCACATTCCAATGCCTGACCACTCTCTCCATGAAAAATCTCTTCCTAATATCTAACCTAAACCTCCCCTGGCAGAGCTTGAGTCTGTGCCCTCTTGTCCTGCTGCTGGCTGCCTGGGAGAAGAGACCAACCCCCACCTGACTACAACCTCCTTTCAGGGGGCTGTAGAGGTTTTTTAGTAAAGCCTGAGGTCTGTCAAATATCTCTGCACTGGAATATCCCAACCATATTCGTAGACCTTTTGGAGCTGGTAAGACCAAATGGAGGTTTGTGTCCCATTCTGGTCAACCTCCTTGTTCAAGTCACAGTCATAACCCTATGGACATCAGGCAGCCAACTCTTTATTCTGGCCAAGGGACAGGAAGATACAAGGTATGTTCACCCTGAGGATGTGCACAGTTTAATCACAGTGATATAATCACACCAGGGCAGTTCTACCAGGAAATATTTCTTTGTAGAAAAGCCATAACACACCTTGGACAAAACACTGCTCTTTTCCTAGGCAGGACTGCAGTCAAAGCACCCTCTGTGGTTCAGCTTACAGCTGTGAAGATGCAAGATAACACTAACCAATTTAACAGTAATTTCAGAAACTGTTCAGACTTAACTTCCTGCAAAGCCTCAAAAAGCCTTTTTTCCTCGAATGTGTTGCTTTCAGACCCTCTTTGCCTTCAAGATTCTTTTATTAAAAATATATTCCTGGGAAATTGAGGTAGCACTTTAGTATCTCCTGCTGTTAGTCTGCATCACTGGGACATCAGGACAGTGAGAACATGTACAGAAATATCACCTTAGCCACTCTGCAATTTTGATTGCGCTTCAGAAAGTTTCATTCCTGGCCACTCATTCTATTGGAGAAGAAATAAAAGTGAGAGGAACTTCACTTTTCTTTTTTTTTTTCCTTTCAAGCTTGCCAAACTGGTGAAGAGGGTTTCAACTAAAGTTGCCAAGGGAAGGGAACCTCAGTACATCCCACTCCTACTCAAGGAGGTCTAAAGCTCATTGTCCAAGTGGAGACCAGTGAGGGGTGGTGTTCCTCAGGGGTCAGTACTGGGACTGGCACTGTTTAACATCTTTGCCAGTGACATGGACAGTTAGTCCATGAGTGCACCCTCAGCAAGTTTACTGATGCCACCAAGCTCTGTGATGTGGTTCACACACACAGAGGGACCCTGACAGGCTTAAAAGGTGCATTTGTGTGAACCTCATGATGTCCAGCAAGGTCAAACGTAAGATCCTGCGTTTGGATCAGAGCAATTCAAAGCACAAATATTAGGCTGGGTGAAGAACGGATTGAGAGAAGCTCTGAGGAGAAGGACTTGGGAGTGTTGATGGATGAGAAGCTTGATGTGACCTGACAATGTGCACTTGCAACTCAGAAAGCCAATTGCATCCTGGGCTGCATCAAAAGCAGCATGGCCAGCAGATCAAGGGAGGGGATTCTGCCTCTCTATTCTGTTCTCATGAGATGTCAACTGGAGTACTGCAACCCCAAGATACAGCACATGGACCTGTTGGAGAGAGTCCAGAGGAGTGGTGTGAAAATGATCAGAGGGCTGGAGCACCTCTCCTATGAGGACAGGCTGAGTTGGGATCATTCAGCCTGGAGAACAGAAGGCTCTGGAGAGACCTTGGAGTAGAATTTCAGTACCTAAAGGGGGCCTCCAAGAAAGCCAGAGAAGGGCTTTTTACAAGGGGATGTAGTGATAGGACAAGGGGAATGGCTTTAAACTGAACAGGCATAGGTTTAGATTAGATATAAGGCAGAAATTCTTTACTGTTAGGGTGGTAAGACACTGGCACAGGTTGCCCAGAGAAATCGTGGATACCCCATCCCTGGAAGTGTTCAAGGCCAGGCTGGATGAGGCTTTGAGCAACCTGGTCTAGTGGAAGGTGCCCCAGCTCATGACAGGGCTGTTGGAACTAGATGATCTTTAAGGTCCCTTCCAACTCAAACCATTCTATGATTCTATGAACCCAAACAGCCACATGTAATATGGCATTTTGCAGGACTGTCAGGCTGACAATGTAAAAGAAAAATTAAACAGCTGGTATACTTGGCTGTACTTGGCATGCTTGGAAAGTATTCTGCTGAGATCTGGATAAAGAGGATAGTCATTGCAGAAGATCTGAGTCTCTTGGAAAAGGCCTTTGGAAGACAAAGCATTTTGTCTTCTGCCAATATTTCTCCTCTCGTGGGCACTGCTCAGCATCCCAGCCAGCCAAGGAGCTGGTGTTGGGCAACCAGAAGCCACAGTTCATCCAAATTCCACTACCCACTGTGGATGGAGACTCACCCTGTCACTGCAAAGCTCAGAAATCAGGTGAACTAGGAAACAAAGAGGCATTCAGAGAAGCTGGGAGATGAAAATTTATGTGAGAAAAGAGTCCTGAGACTGTTTCTAGAGAAGGAGGAAAGGTACCAAGAAACATACAGACAGCCATGCAAGATTCAATGCAACATTCTTACCTGTTCCCAGGACAGCTCAGGACATCCAAATTCCCACTCCTAAATAAGCACACATCACTTGCCTTCATCACACCCCCTACCCTCCCCACTCTCCTTTCCAGTGTTTGTACTAGTTCAATAAGGTCAAGACACCCAAGTGGAGTCAGATGAAGAAGAGCAGAGTCTCCCCACCTGCAGAATTAACAGCATCTGAACAATGGAAGCTGGGAGTTTTGTCTGAACCAGCGGAAGAATTTCTTCCAACTTCACTTTTAGCAAGACCAAGTCTCTGAAGCCAAGAAGAGCAATCTGACGGATAGTCAACTCCTGACCCTAAAAAACACAGAAGGCAAAATCCAAGAGTTGTTAAAGGGACATGTGAGCATCACAACAACACATGGATACACACAGACAGGAAGGGTCTATCCTGCCCATTGCTGCTATGGCAAAACACCTCCCAGTCCTTCAGGTTGAGGATTCATGGTACTCTTTGGTTACTTCCCTCTGTCTCACAGATGCTGAAATGAGCATCACCTCATCTGAGGCACAACTGGGTTTGGAATGAAGCTGACAATGGGCCTGTGTTTTACCAAAAGACCATGTATGAATGAAACCCACTTGCCATCCAATTTGGTCACAAACATTCAAAGCCCAAGATGGATGCAGCTTGTGCTTTTGC